GTGGGTTGTGTGGAGGCCAGAAGTAAGAATCACTCCGGTGTTCAAGAGTGCACAAGTTATTACATGTTCAGTCTTGCTACTAGGAGAAGAAGAATTTTTCTGCTCTTTCATCTATGCTTTCAATTTAATGGAGGAAAGGAAAGAGCTATGGGGGGATTTAAAAAGTCACTATGAAGCATCGATGTTTAGGAATAGGAAGTGGATGTTGATGGGAGATTATAATGAAATTTTGGATGGGGAAGAACACTCTTGTTTTGATGAGTCTCCAAGACTGCCATTGGGTATGAGGGATTTTCAAAAAACTGTAAGTTATTGTAAGTTGACGGATTTGGGGTATCAAGGACCTAGATTTGCATGGTGTAATAAGAGGGAAGAAGGTTTGGTTTGTAAGAAGCTGGATAGAGTTCTAGTGAATGAGGAATGGTTGAATAGAGTTGGATCTTATTGTGTCTTTGAATCGGGAGGGTGTTCAGATCACTTGAGGTGTCGTATACATCTGAAACAAGTTGAAGGTAGGAAGCGCAAGTCTTTCAAATTTACAAACACTATTGCTAAGATGCCGGATTTTGGTATGCTTATGGAGGAAACTTGGAAGGAGTATGAAGCTTTATACCACTCGACTTCTGCTTTATATATGCTCTCCAAGCGTTTGAAAGCTCTGAAGAAGCCTATTCGGGATCTGAGTAAAATTCATTTGGGAGATTTGTCTAAGAGAACCAAAGGAAGCTTATTTGAACCTTTGTGATAAGCAAAGGGCAACTATGTAGAGTCCTGAGCGTATTAGATCTGAAAGTGAGATGATGGTGAAATGGCAAAGACTAGCTGAGTTGGAAGAAGAATTTTTGAAGAAAAAATCAAAAGTTCACTGGCTTGATGTGGGGGATGGGAATAACAGGTTTTTTCATAGCTCAGCAAAGATTAGAGAAACCCGAAACGATATCATGAAATTGTGCGCATTGATGGTTTTGATGCAAAGTCTGAAGAGGAGATTAAACATGAAGCTGAGAATTTTTTTGCTGAGTTTATGACTTTTAAACCGGTGGAATTTGAGGGGGTTTTCAGTGGATAATCTCAAAGAGTTGCTAGGCTATCAGTGCAGTGAAGGACACTCTCTAAAGTTGGTGAGAGATATCACTAGAGAAGAGATCAAGGAGGTGCTATTCCGTATGCCTGCTAATAAAAGCCCAGGTCCTGATGGTTTCACTGTAGAATTCTTCAAAGGAGCTTGGGAGGTGATTGGTGAGGATGTCACTATAGCAATTCAATCCTTCTTTGCGAAAGGCTTCTTACCGAAGGGGATAAATTCAACGATCCTAAATTTGGATCCTAAGAAAGATGAAGTGAAAATGATGAAGGATTAGCGGCCCATATCCTGTTGCAGTGTGCTTTATAAGGTGATTTCTAAAATCATTGCAAATAGGTTGAAGAGTGTGCTACCTAAATTCATTGCCATTAACCAGTCTGCATTAATCAAAGATCGTTTGTTGATGCAGAATGTGTGGCTAGTAATGGAATTAGTGAAGGACTATCATAAAGAGGATATCTCATCTCGATGTGCTTTGCAAATTGATATCTCCAAGGCTTTTGATTCTGTTCAGTGGCCATTCCTTATGAGTACTTTAGAAGCTCTGGGGTTGCCGAGTAAGTTCATTAAATGGATCATTCAGAGTAAACGTGGCTTAAGACAGGGATGCTCTCTTTCTCCTTATTTATTCGTGATATGCATGAACGTTTTATCAAAGATGCTGGATGATGCTGCTAAGAAGGAAAGTATTGGTTATCATCCACGATGTCAGAAGATTGATCTCACACACTTATGTTTTGCAGATGATCTTATGATTTTTGTGGATGGTACTCAAATATCTATCGATGGGATCCTTAAAGTATTTGAAGATTTTGATAACATGAGTGGGCTTAAGATAAGTAAGGATAAATCAGTGTTGTTTATGGCTGGTTCGAATCAGAGTGGTGAAGTGATTCCTGGACAATCGTTGTTTGCAAATGGGAAGCTTCATGTTCGATACCTGGGCCTGCCGCTCTTAACTAGAAGTATGACTGTTACTGATTTCATTCCGATGGTGGAAAAGATCAGAAAGAGGATTACTTCATGGAGGGGAAGATTTCTATCCTATGCATGGAGATTACAGCTTATTAACTCAGTTATTGGTAGTCTTACTAATTTCTGGATGGCAGCTTTTAGGCTCCCCAGTAGATGTATTAGAGAGATTGAAAGAATATGTTCAGCATTTCTTTGGTCGGGTCCAGACCTGAACGGAAGGAGAGCTAAGATATCTTGGGAGGACGTTTGTAAACTGAAACAGGAGGGAAGTTTGGGTTTAAGACCTTTAAAGGAAGTAAACAAAGTCAGTTGTCTCAAGCTCATCTGGAGAATCCTCTCTGCTCAATCGCTTTGGGTGAATTGGGTGAAGGTCTATCTGATTAGGAAAGGCTCTCTTTGGACGGTTAAGGATAACACCCAGAGTGGATCATGGATGTGGAAAAAAATCCTCCAAGGGAGAGATACTGCTAAGCATTTTTACAGAGTTGAGGTAAAGAATGGTAAAAGTACATCCTTTTGCATGATGTTTGGAGTCCTTTGGACCGTTTGATAGAGGTTGCAGGTGAGGGGAGTCATATTGATATGGGTATTTTGTTGAATGCTAGTGTTAAAGACAGCTTGAATCATCGCAGGAGACGGCATCGAACCCATATTCTGAATATGATTGAAGAGGAGATTGAGAGGGTTAAGGAAAATTGGACGCCAGAAGATGATATTCCCCAGTGGAAGAATGAAAAAGGTGTGTTTAAAAGTAGGTTCTCAACAAAAAGCATTTGGCTTAGCGTAAGAGAAAGATACCAGCCATGCTACTGGCATAACGCTGTTTGGTTTAAGCATGCTACACCAACATATTCAGTCCTTACCTGGATTGCAATGAGAGGAAGATTAGCAACTGGTGATCGAATGCAACACTGGAATGGGAATGCTGATGTTGCTTGTGTTCTATGCCATGAGCCATTGGAAACCTTTAATCATCTATTCTTTGAGTGTGCTTTTTCAGCGCATGTTTGGGATAATCTTGCAAGGGGTATTCTTCATGATCAGTATACTATTAAGTGGGATGAGATTATAAGAATGCTTGTTGGTAGAGTGAGTTGGAACAAAGTGAAGCTGTTCACAATGAGATATCTTCTCCAATCTATGGTTCATACCATATGGATGGAGCGTAACAGAAGAAGGCATTGAGAAGCTGCTACTCCGGTGGAGATTTTGGCAAGGAGGCTTGGGAAGAATATACGGAATCAATTCACTGTTATTCAAAGAAGAGGAGATGTGGAATACAGTGAAGGAATGGCGTATTGGTTTAGTACGAGATAGATTGTTGATTAAGAGAATTTTGGTTTGAGTTGTTTGCTTTTAGCCTTAAAAACTATTGATGTAAGGTCTTTTTTTTAGTTTAAATTTAACATTTCAATTCAAAAAAAAAATAGTAATAAAATTTCTAATGTGTAACCTGAATGCATAAAACATCCGCAACATATTCCTTCTTATTATAATAGGACCGAAAGATACATTCTTGATTAACCAGCCCTCTAATATACATACCATGACTATGTTCAAAACTCTCAAAACTGTACAGCTGCTACTTCCAAAGGTTTCTAGAAATCAGCGATCCTGTTGTGTTTCTCTGTCTTGAAAACAAACATGTAGAAGATATTGTTTATCGACTTCCTGATGAAAGGATGGTAAACCCTGAATTGTTTTCAGATAATCTCTCTCCCTAGAATCTTCAGAATCAAAAAAATCAAGTAACTGCAGGACAAAAGATTGGTCTATGTATCTCTTGGCCGGCTTGGTGTCAGTCTCAGGAGAAGCAACAAACCTCAAGAAAAGGGGTAAACGACCTGTTTCCACACCATAACTATCGTATAGTAACAGATCCACACGAATTTTTCACCTTGTCCCAATTGCACACAATTAAAGTTTATAAACCTATTTCCCCCCCAGAACAAATATCGAGACTCGAATCCCCCCAGACGAATGATTGAGTTGGATTTAGTGGTTTAAAACCTAAACCATAGTTAAACCAAGATCTGAACCAATTTTAAAACCCGACTCAACCCTCCTATCCAACTATATACCCGACCGAAACGCCTACTAAAAGTTAAAAAAGTCCCAAATCGATTTCATATCTCATTCA